GAAATTATCATCCGCACACTCTCCTCTCCCTCTCTCTCTCTCTCTCTCTCTCTCTCTCTCTCTCTCTCTCTTCCTAGTCTCCTCTAAACCCCCCTCTTTCTCCCCCCCAAAAAAACCTCCCTCTCCGAAATTCCCCGTCTCCCATCTCCAAATCAAACTAAACCATGCACCTCACCCACCTCATCCTCCTCATCGCGCACTTCACCCACGCATGCGACAAGCAACTACACCCACGCCAGCACACGCGGCACCTACACGCGCGCAGCACAACACGCATTTTCCCGCTTGTCCTGACGCCCCACGAAAGGGTTCTCGTGTCTTCGTTTGATAAAGCAGAGATAGCGGCGTGGTCGCGGTATTATTGTATGTAAGCACTGTGTGTATTTTCATTTGCGTGATGGTTGGTTGGTTAAAGGGGGGAGGGAGAAAAGAAAGGAAAGGGAAAGAAAGGAGATGGTGGCTGACAGTATGTGTGTGGTATAGCTTTCCAGAGGAATCTCGCGGGCGAGAGCGATGCAGTGCCTACGTGGACGCGGGAGCGGTGGCGTGAGAGCAGGTTTGAAACGAGCATGGATGGGTATTGTGAGTTTTCTCTTATGTTTCTTTCTCTCTCCTTGTATGACATCCGCTTTTCCTTTTTCATCCATCTCCTGTCTTATCCGCTTTCGTCGCATATACACAAGCGAGGGAGTGAGAATACAAGCGAGCGAGTCAGACAATACTGATTAGGTCAAACAGATGTCTACCTCGATTCCCCAGTCCACCAATCCCTCGAACTGAGATATGCAAACGGAAGCACGTACCGCGCTTCGCTGGAAGAAGATGTGGTAGATGAGGATGCCACGAGCGGTTCCAGTAATCGCGTGCCGGCATTCCATGCGTATTCGGGATCGGGCGGTGCAGACGCAGAGTATGTCTACGTTGGTATGTATGAGGGTGTCGCACACGCAGCCCGTTTCCACTGTAGAACAGCACCGACAGCGGTACTAATGCATCTTTCTAGGCCGCGGCTCACGTGAGGATTTCCAGCGCCTTATTGCGCTCAGCGTGCGGCTTGAGGGCCGCATTGCGCTCGCCAAGTACGGCGGGCCGTACCGTGGACTCAAGGTGAAGAATGCACAGGCGGTGGGCATGGTAGGCGCAATTCTGTTTACCGATCCCGGTGATGACAAGGACATGGTGGCTGAGAATTACCCTGTGTATCCGCATGGACCTGCGCGCAATCCATCGAGTATCCAGCGCGGCAGCGTCGTGGATCTCGCGCTGTACCCGGGAGATCCGACGACGCCGGGGTATGCGTCCAAGGAGGGAGTGCCGAGGACGGAGAAGAAGACGGTGCCGCGGATTCCCAGTCTGCCGCTGTCGTGGAGGGAAGTGAGACCGTTGTTGCTTGCGCTGAATGGACGTGGGGTTTGTGCGGAGACAGTCGCGAGACCGGGTTGGGTGGGCGGCATACAAGGTATAGAGCATTGTGCTGGGCCGTCTGAAGCGAGGATATCAATGCGGAATGATATGAAGGGGGAGATGAGGTGGATTCATAATGCTATTGGGGTAATCAATGGCACTGAGGAGGATGAGGTGGTGGTTGTGGGGAACCACCATGATGCTTGGATGATAGGGGGCGCTGGTAAGTTGGACCAACGAGAAGCGAAGTAAATTGCTGATAGTGTTAGCGGATCCGCATTCTGGCTCAGCGATTGTGGCCGAGCTGGCAAAGGCAATTGGGGCACTTTTGAAGACGGGATGGCGGCCAAAGCGGACGATTGTCCTGTGTAGCTGGGACGCAGAGGAGTATGGACTTGTGGGGAGGTAAGTTAAGCTCCTTTGCAGAGCCCAAATCCCCATGGTAACGCTCGACAGCACCGAGTGGGTTGAGGAACATCTCGCCTGGCTCAAAGCCTCTGCAGTTTCCTACCTCAACATTGACGTCGGAGTCGCTGGCAGCATCCCCGACTTTGGCGCTACACCCGACCTCCATTCTCTCATCACGTCGACCGCTCAAAAGGTCATCTGGCCCCGCGGCGAGAACCGCACCATGTATGACGTGTGGGCAGAACAGGCCGGGGAGATTGATGCTCTCGGCGCACAGAGCGACTACACAGCCTTTGTGCATCGCGGCGGCATCTCTGCCATGGACATGGGTACTACGCGGGCCCCCCTGGATCCAATCTACCACACGCACTCCAACTTTGACAGCTACCACTGGATGACCAAGTTTGCTGACCCCGGCTTCGCAATGCACACGGCGGTCGGACAGTTTCTGGCATTGATGTTGTTTCACCTGGTGGATGACGCCGCGGTGCCGCTTGAGCCGGCAAACTATGGTGTAGAAATGCAGGCATGGCTTGGGGATCTTGAGAAGAATCTGGCCTCAGCGAATGCAACGGCCGCGGTGGGACTGCACAGCCTGCAAGATGCTGTTGAGGGGTTCGTCAAGGCGGCGCGGGTGTTCAGTGCCGCGCGTGACATGGCCGTGGCATCCAACAACAAGACTGTGCTCAAAAGCTTGAACGGCAAAGCCCGGGACTTTGGGCGTGGTTTCATTGGGCAAGGCGGGCTTCCAGGAAGGGATTTCTACCAGCATCTGGTGTTCGCACCTGGCGTCGACACGGGGTATAGGCCCGTGACTTTTCCTGGTGTCACCGAAGCCGTTGCTGCAGGTAACCTCAGCCTGGCGCGAGACTATGTTGAAAAGACTGCAAAGGCGGTGTTAGCTGCAGCACGCATCTTGGAGGCCTGAAGCAGCTTTGCCAGTTAGGCAAGACATGCGTTGTCGACGAGCGTTGAAGCCTCAACGACATCCCCCTTTTTTTGATGTGAGGTGCTGGACGGTTGGAGCAGGTGAAGTCGCTCCATCACGGATGTAGCACGCAAGCGGCTTGATGCAGGAGTTCCCGTGCATACATAGCGGGCAGTGGACGAGGCTGTGGGGGCCAAAGTAGTCTTAGCGGTTACTGTGACAGCGAGGCTTGAGGAGAAAAAAGCAACGCGAAGAACAAGAGTCGCGGGTCCTCCCTCTTGGCATGTCCTTCTGCAATGCTATACGGCCGGCTAATTCACTGCAAGGGACGCGGCCCCACGCCGTCCATGTTGCTCCGCCACATGCAATATCAAACGGGCGTCACATGGCTGCATCTTGAAACCACACTCGAGTAGCACAGTGTAAAACCGGTGAATGCTCGCCCTCTGATCTGCTCCTCTTGCACCGATCACGACACGCCCGCCATTCTATTGCCTCGCCTCCCATTTTTTCCCTTCCATCCATAGCTTCCTTCGTCCTTTCCGCGTTGTGATTGGCTGGATACTATGGAAATGTGGGGCGTGAATGATCCTTCGCAGGCAGCCAGCCTAAATATACATCACAGCACGCAAACCCATCTTCATATGGTCGAATTACAGGCTGTAAGCGCCTGTATCTGCCTTGTTTACGTCACACGAGCAAGGGGGGCAAGAGACAGAGAGAAAATCGAGTTTTTTTTTAGGGGGAGGGACCCGAGTCACAGCCTCGCCGTGTGTGGGCGCCTTAAAACTGGTGGAGGAGGCCTGAAGTTAAGTAGCGCCAGATTCATGGGCTAGCGATGGGAAAAATCCTTCAAGTGAAGATGTGCTGCAGCATTTTTTCTTAATATCACTTGGTCTTCTTCTGTCGTCCTGAAATCTGCGTCTTGCCAAACTTGATTGCAAAGACACTGTGTGGCTGAAAAAAAAGCGTCTCGTCTGCCACAAAGAAAACACTTATCCATCCAACACACTCCCATACCCTCGCGCTCGTTCTTCCCGCAATATTTCACGCAAATATGGTGTCTTCAATCTTCAGCTTTGTGCTTCGCGGCGCACAAGCCCTCTTCGGCATTGTTGTCCTCGGTCTGAGCGTAACACTGATCCGCGGCCACCACTGGGGCGATCTTCCCGCCAGTCTCGGTTTTGGCACTTTTATCGGCGGTCTCTCGTTTGTAGCTGCGCTTGCCGGGGTAGCTGGGATCTGGTTTGAATTTCTGGGCGGCATGGTTGGACTTGTTATTGATAGCGTGGTTGCGCTGGTCAATCTTGCTGGTGGAGTGGTATGCAATTCCCCATTTTCCAGCCAGCCATCCGTTGGTAGGTATACGAGAAACATGACTGACTATCCCATAGCTGTATGCCATCAAGCTCAAGGGCGTCAAGTGCGATGGGAATCCCCAAGATACGGAAAACGTGGTGAAGCTGCTCAAAAACGAATGGTTCAATGGCGGCTGCAGAAAGTACAACGGCAAGTTGTTCTGCTGGAATGGATCCAACCACACTGCCAAGCAATTTCTGGATACGTGTGTGGGCCACTGCAAGGAGGCTCAGGCCGACACTGTCTTTATGTTTCTGACAGCTGTTGTCGCCATTGTCTGCGGGCTGCTGGTGTGGCTGAGGATGAGGAAGGGTTACTAAGTGGAACAGCAAAGGGTAAGATATTCACAGTACTTATATGAATAACATCATACTGACACAACCCAGCTCCACATATCTCAACCCCCAAATCCTCACTACAACTCTAATCAGTCCCTGAGAATGTTTTCCACGACACTTTCCCCATCCCACTATACCCAAGTATCCGTATACCCAATTCGCTATCCTTATAGTCCCCCCCAATCGTCCCGAGCAAGAAAACGCAAAGCACGAAGAGGCACATGATGAATATTTTACACTCAACAAAAATAAATAATCTACCCTACCACACTCCATTAACACGGAGCACAAACTAACCAACAAGGTCCCGTGTCCCTTATCATGTTCCGTGTACCTGTGCATCCTAGGGTGGTGAACAAAGGGTAACACCATCACCTCGCAAATAAAGTGAAGCGTGTCGCAAACTCCTTGCATGTAGCATTGATTCTTCCCATCTTGCACTGACAGCTCTCCTTTTTTTCCCCCATCTTTCCCCCCTCTTTTCCCTTACCCCATCCTACATCTATCCCCACCAACGCATCCATCCACCAACATGGCGTTCCGCCTCCCCCCCACAAGCACACTTACGCTGCTCCTCCGAGCGCTGCAAGTCCTCTTCAGCGCCCTCACGCTCGCTCTATCCGCTTCACTGCTGACAACGCACAAATGGGGCGCGGTACCCAAACTCATGTGTTTCGCGGCGCTGACGGGCCTCGTCTCGCTGCTGAGCGCGCTGTTCTTCGCTGCAAGTGCGGTGCGCCCGTTTCTGCGGCGCGGCGTGGTTGCGGCGGGGGACGGTGTGGTGTTTTTTCTGAGTCTGGTTGTGGGGATTGTAAGTCTGTGTTTCTTGGGTTCGGTGGCTGTATCATAATGGGATATATGTGATTGGGGCCTTGCTACTCGTCTGGTTTTGTATACTACATATATACTTTTCTACAGCTTTGTTCTGCACTACCACAACCCCGTAGAACATACCTCTAACACCAAAAACACAGGTCCTATCCCTCCGTCTGCACGGCACATCGTGCCACAACACGTATGCGCTGCTGCAAGACTCCGACACCATCATCTGCGGCGGCGTAGCGGGAGACGTGGAAGACGATGAATCCAAATTCAAAGCGTGCTACTATTGGTATATTAGCGGGCCCGAGGCGCTAGCAAAGCGCTGTGTTATGGCAAAGGTGGATGATGGGTTTCTGCTTGCTACTGCGGCGGTGCTGGGGATTATCGCGCTGATGATGTATGCGAGGGTCAAGAAGGAGTGTCGTGAGGAGAGGGTCAGGCTGGATGGTATGTAACTGGCTAAATGACTGGATGGGCATGGACTAAGTAAGTAACGTCAGTTGGATCTCGTACCCATGGGTTAGAGTTGCGAGGTTGAAGTTTGGACAGCGAATATGAAACAGCAAGACAGGAAGAAGACTGAACGAATAGGAACCGATTACGAGATGCATCACTGTTAGTCCGGGAGTATCATCTTTGTAGGGCACGCAGTAATGGCCTTTATTCTAAACTCACTAAACATCTGCTTCGTCTCGTGCCTTTCCCGCCATTCGCTCCCGTATCAACTCCTATACCAACGCCATCCATGCACACCTTGCCGATACTCCCGTTTCAGCCTCGTTACTACGCCACCCTATGCAAACGAATAGAAATTACTTAGACGGGGCAGGACTGCAAGACTGTCAGTCGTGCTCTGTCGCAATCCATCAAGCTCCACTTACGCTGCCACAGGATCCGCACGTCTTGGTGTCGCCGCTGATGGTAGCGCTGCACTTGGGGCAGGCATTGTGCGAGAAGTTGACGAGAACAGTGGTGGACTGCATGTTGACTTTGGTAGCTGTTTCGAGCGTTGGTCTAGGCTGAGATTTGGTGTTTGCGGTTGTGAAATGACAGGTTGCCGATGGTTGAGGTTGGAGGGGCAAAGTGGGGTTGATATACTTTGCGAACGTCTGCAGGGCCAGGCAGCTATCTGCGGCAAGGTTAGGGCTAGCGCATAGCTCGTCAGATGACTTTTACGCGGTAAGAGCGCTGGGTGTTGCAATTGGGCGGGCCAGTGGGGGACGTGTGGGATGGGATTAGCAAGTGAGGCGACAGCCAAGTAAGCTGTAATGGGTTGCGTAAAAGACCGAGAGGAAGATACCGTGTGTAGGCCGAAGGCCAGCTGAGAGGTGGTCGGCTTGTGATTGCTACTTTGGTTACCTAACATGACAGATGATCTGCCCGTTGATGACGACAAACCAGCCGTCTTCCTTCTTCTCCATGTCTCGGAATGCTGCGGATATCTCGTCCAACTCTTGTTCTGTCGCATGACCGCTCTCCAAGGCTCTCTGCTTGAAGTCGCTCTTGACCGTCCTGTCGGCCCAAAGACCACACCAAAACTCTCTTTCTTCCAGCGTACTAAACGTCCAGGTATCCACGCTAGCCTCGATATTAGCCCTTGGAAAGCCGGCCTGCAGGGCTACTGCGTGCAGCTGCTTGCCAAGGTTTGGATGTGCCTTGAGGCCAAGCGCAATCTTGATATACAACTCCTTCCACTTTTGTATCACAGGATGATCTGGGTACCAGTCCATGGCACTGTAGTTACAGTCCCGTATGGCAAGAATGCCTCCAGCTTTGGTCAGGCGCTTCATCTCCTTCATCGCGCCCAGGGGGTCTTGGAGATGCTGCAGCACTTGATGCGCGTGCACCACATCAAAACCTCCTTCTGTGACGCCTTCAAGCTTGTTCCATTCAAATATGTCGCCAGCCTCAAACCGTATGTTTGTGATGCCCCGTTCCTCTGCATGCTTTCGAGCTTTCTCGATGACTTCGGCCGAGGGATCAATCGCGTAGACGAAGCCTTGTGGGACGCGGGCGGCGATATCGACGCTGATGGTGCCGGGGCCGCAGCCGACGTCGAGTATCTTGAGCGAAGGGTTGTTTAGGTATGGGAGGAGATGAGGACAGGAGTTCTCGACTGTGCGCCAACTGTGAGAGCGAAGAACAGAAGCGTGGTGACCGTGAAGATATTTTCCAGACATGACTGAGGATTGTATCTGATTTGGTTATGTTTGGTCTAGAAGTTCTGAGCAATCAATATAAGTAGGCTGCTGTAACTTTGATTAGTGTCGGGATTAACAGGAGATAATCGTCGTATTTATAGCTTCGGTGGCAAGCAGAGCTTAGGTCCGAGTACCCGAAGTGGCAGTATGCCATTGAGGGGAGTTGTGCTTATTGTGATACGGCGACAACGGAGAGAGTGATGTTGGTGAGGGGAAGGGCACCGCCTTCTTGAGTCCGACCATCGGCCATCTGGGTACTAATGCTTAGTCATGGCTATTCTCGAGGATGACTCAAGATGCAATGGAAGTTGAGACGGAATTCTGGGTAGCTGGTCATAGGTCTGACACAATGCAGCAAAGCATGTGATTTGCATCTGCAGCTGACCAGAGCATGTTGTGAAATCTATTCTTCCGATGCAGAACATGGCGTGGAAAATGTTTTCTGCTGCGAACGCAGTAATAAATGTGTTGTCCTGTCGACCATTTTTACCACCAGGATCTAGTTTGAAGAGCGTTGAGAGAAGTAGACCTGCATGAATCAATGACGTAGTTCCTTTGAACCTCGGCAGCTCACATACCTAGTGAACAGGCTAGTAATGCGACTGATTCATATTCCCTGCCATGAGCCCGCCACAATATCCACGATTCAATTTGTTTGCTGTTTCAATAGATTCAGATGACAACCCTGACGTTGTCAATAGATTTGCTAGGAATTGCCGCCCAGCAATCTGTGAGTCGGCAGTCTGCCTGAACATGACATGACATGTATCGATAGAACGAGGAGCAAGAGCCTTCTAAAGGATGAAATAAATACATGAGAAAATGAAATCCCCACGCACTGACAACTACCCACCATGCATGAGCAACGCAACACAATCGCTAACCACCCATCCTACCCCTGCACGCTCCAGACCACCGCCCACACCCACCTAAACCCACCAGAAAAATGCAGCATGAACGCCCCGATCCCAGCGGGTAAGTAAGGGCAGACGCAGACGCCGTCGCACTGCATACTCCATCGACACCAAAAACGCTAGTTTTAACCCAAGTAGGCATTTCAGACAGTTCAGCCGCAGTCTTGGCAATAACGCACGCTAGGTAGTGTCAAGTTCGTGTTCGCATGGGAATTACACCGAGAGAGTGGAGAAAAGGCAACAGCGAGAATACACGTAAGGAAAGTGAAGGGGGGAGAGAAAGGCTACATGCTCATGTATATGTACAATCGAGGCGCAAACAGTTACTTACTCAGACTTGTTCGACCAAGTACTTACATAAGTAAGTAGTTTGTTCGTACCAATACAAAGTAGCCAACATGCCGCAAACAGCAAACCACAAACCACGCATATACATATTCCCATAACCACAATCACAACCCTCACCCACCTAACCCCAACCCCCTACATCCCAGCCGCACCAACCAACCAACCAACCAACCGCAATCCCATCAGCGCCACAAAAACTCTCCGCACGCGCTACCCCCAAAACAGATAATGGTGTCTTTAACGCATTGAGGAAGCACGAAAACGAGGGGGGGGGAAACGGGGAGTCCGAGGCATCTTTTTTTTCCTTTTTCTTGCGTGTGTATAGCATACGCGGGAAAAAAAATCGTATCGTAGATTAACACGCGGGGTTTTCTTTTAAATTTTTTTTGAGCTGAGTGTGTGTGTGTGTGTGTGTGCGAGGAGGTGGGAAAAGAGGGCGGTACATATATATATAATTCCACCACCACCACCACCACTGTACAATACAATACAATACCCGTCCCAAACGCACAAGAAAAAAAAACAGATGACAAAACACCTGAGCCAAGTAGCGCGCAAGAGAAATTCATATCGAGCACTTTACAAACCATGCAAATCACAATTTTCTCTCTCCGTTCCGTTTGCAAACGATGGAAAGGCCATGTCTCGCTCTCTTGCTCTTGCCTACAGGTACAAGTACAAGTACAGGTACAAGTACAAGTACAAGTAGTGAAACCCTACATGCACATGCACATCCATCCATCCGTAAACATGCATGCACATGCATATGCACATGTATGTATGTATGTATGTATGTATGTATGCAGGCATAGGTAGGTGCGTGGGTGCAGGTGCGGTGTGTAATCCCCCCCCCCCACACACACATGCACATATCCACAAGATAAATACCCGATGGCTAACATCCAAAACGGACAATGCCTCAGTGCAGCAATCAATGGTGCAACTGCCTAGTTGCCTAGTTAGGAAGTTTGGGAGGGGCGGCGGCGGCGGGGCGGGGGGGGGGGGAGGTGGGAGGGTGAGTGGGTGAGTGATAGTGGGTGATAGTGGGTGATAGTGGGTGATAGTGGGTGGGCGATAGTGGAGGATAGTGGGTGGGTGATAGTGTGTGTGTGCATGACTTGACTTGAACCAGGTTAGGGGGCGAGGCAGCAACAACATGAAAGTATCAGTGGGAGGGTAAGTAGGAGGTATATAGTATGTAGCTTAGCCCATTCCTTATTCCTTATTCCTTATTCCTTATTACCTGCTTCCTTGTTTCCAGTTCCTTATTTCCCGTTTCTTGCTTCTTACATACATACGAGTAGCATGTGTTACGCTTCATGCCCGACTATGAGTCTGCAAAGAAAGAACAGTATGTATGTATGTATTCTTCCACCTCGCCGTCGCTCTTGTCGAGAGATGCATGTTGTGTGGTGTAGTGAGAGGTTAGTTAGCATGCATGTACAGATGGGCCGACGGAGGCAAGGACAGGTACCAGAAAGTCATTGAAAAGTATCGCTTCGCTATGTTATTTCATGTTGCAAGATGAAGAGGCGTAAAGCATGATACATTATATGCTCGAAACGACGCCCAGGAACGGCACAGCAGAATCATAATGCTGTACCAATTCACCCGCTCCAATTACTCGTCGTAATTGATCCCAAGCTAGCGCCTCAGCGATCTAGCTTCAGAAACATCAATCTCGCGATCATACCCCCCCGCAACGCTTCTTCGTCTCCGCCCATGTCCCGAGACCACACTTGCGCTCCGCCTGGTCCTACTCTTACGGGAAGTGGCCTGCCCAATCCCGCTATCGCGTCTACTAGCAGGCTGCTCAATCACCTCCATGATATCCTCTTCATGCTTGAGCTCTCTCACCTCGTGCTCATCCGAAAGATGCTTGACCAGGGCCTTGACATCCCCGCAGATAGTATCCGAGTCACTGTACTTGGAGCAGATGACGCAGCAGTACTGGCAGTCTGGGCCGTCACGATGGCACTTTACTACAAAGCGGTTCTGGACCTGGAATGTGCGTTCCGTGTCGCCTGCCCACTTTGAGATTTCCCAGGCTTTGCCCGGAGAAAGATGCAGCTTACTTGTGCAGTGGGGGCATCGCGGGTCTTTGGCTAAGAGGATGCTGCTGGGGAGGGGCAGGGTGGGGTCGCGCTGAAGGTCGTAGGCGTAGGCGCAGTAGAGATGGTCCGGGGATGAGGTCAATGCGGACGAGGATACCGGGCCTGTTAGCGAGCTTTCTGTCATGGCGGATTCGGGCTCGACTTTGCTGCGCCAGTCGAGGATGGTCGTGTGGACCGGGCTGCTGCCTCGCATAGAAAACGGCCGAGGTTGTGCTTCGTCATACTTGGAGGGCGCTGCGCTCGCTCCAATCGGGGGCTGTGGAAGTACCAAAACACGCGATGGTGCTTGCGAAGAGACGTGCGAAGCTGCGCGTGTAGGTGTGCGCGACCTTTTTTGAGATGGGGCCCTTGAAGGCGCTTTGGACGGTGCCACGGTTACCGTCACCGTCTGCACACAAGACGCTGATTGGGATGGCGTGATGGATGGCGCATAGGAACTGTAGTGAGATGGCGCATAAGACGGCGCGTGACTGGCCGATGGTGTGTGAGATGGCAGACCCGAAGGCGCATGATGTATGCTTGAACGCGCTGTAGCTGAGTGCATCGAACGCGGTGTGACGGGGCGCTCCTCCATCTGCCTCTCCTGCAATGCAGCCAACGTATCAATGGCTGCTGCTGCCGCCGCCCTCGACGCGGCATTGATTTCAGAAAGCTGATGTGCAAAGGAATTATTTGACGTAGGTCCGTAGATGGCTGTGGTCACCAGCAGGCTCTGCAGGGTGATGATGTGGGACTGGAGCTCTGTATGTGCAATTACTGTACGTCGTTAGCTAACCAGCCCAGTACGACATGGGGCTTGAGCGATGCCATGTCAAACACAACTCGTGGGTTATCAAACAGAGCATACCATCACCTCTGGCAAATTCGCTGCCCATCGCATGGTAACCCTTTTCAAACTGCCGGATGACTGTCGACTTGTCGGTCATGATGGCGTCTTCGCTGCCCAGGCTCTCCTCGCGGACATACTCGACTCGTCTTGAAGGCGGGTAGCCCTTTGCCCTCAGATTCTGCTCATACTCTTTCTGCTCCTTGATGGTCAAGCTCCGGTACAAGTCCTTGGTGGCATCAAAAACATCGGCGAGGATGTACACGAGGGATTCCACAATGTTGGCCGGGTCGGCGGCGGGGTTCTGGAGGCGTCAGCATCCCCGTGAACAGCATTTGCGAGCGCCACAGACCCAAGACCTACCGCAGTACCCATCTTCGCGTACTAAGAGGCGTATTGGTGTTCCGGCTGTGGCCCTGATATAGATTCGGCTGACTCGAACAGGCAAAGAAAAAGGGTCTCGATAGCTTAAGAGCTTACACCAACGGGATCATCAAGCCCTTAGTTTTCCTCTAGGCTTGCACATCCCCTAGGCTAAGCCCCACGCTCGCGGCAGGCTCCGCATAAGCTCCGAGAAGACGTCTCCTCCCGCACAAGGCCTATGGTTTCCGGGGCGCCTCATGCCCGATGATGCCTCGTACAGCTGGCAAGGCGCCATTGGTGCCCCCGGTGCTTTTTGCTGATTGGAACGCCCACGGGTACGGGCTGGGCTAGGAACATGCGTCGCATCACGATTGACGTCACCGGCCAATGCAGGGCTGTGGCTGTTGGGCACAAGTGCAAGTGCAAGTGCACCCAAGGGCCATGCAAAAGCCCGCAGGGTGGATGCAGATGCGCTGGGGTGTTTGACGGGGGCTGCGTTGCTTGACGGGGGCTGGCCGGTGTGGTGCGAGCCGGCGACGGGCAATGCCGGATTATGTCATTTGTGCATGGAATGGGAAATGGGGCGGCAGACTGCTTCCATGGCTGCGGGCGCGTATGTATTGCTGTCAGAGTCAGTGTCGGTGTCGCCTGCGTAGCGGTCAGAGAGTGACCGGGGAGAGAGTGGCCGGGGAGACAAGTGTACGTACCGCACGTGTGACATCATCCTATAGCCATCGCGACGCCCTCGGTGTTCGGCCACCACGTCATCAAGCCGCTTACACAGCGCAGCGCAGCCCGTTGTTGCTATGCTAGAGAGGTGTCCTTTAAGTCGGTCTTTGTGATCGGGGCTTTGTGTCTTGGAAGCGCGTGGGAGAAGCAAGCGTGACTGCTGGCATCGATCGTGGCGGGCGCTCCATCGTTTGGATCGCTAGCGTGCCATTAGCGCATGCCCCTTTGCACCGTGTATCCACCACACCACACCTTTCCATCGCTTTGGTTGCAGACAATGGCCAGAGAGGTAGCGAACCGCGGGAACGGTCCGTGTCATGTCAGTTGGATGGCCATGCTTATCGGCTTCTCACACGTAGTTGTCTTGTACCTTGGATACACTGGCCAGTCATGTGCTCTATGCTGGGGGTCTCTGTACTCAGTCCCAGGTCATCAGTTGAACTTCAGAACAGCCATGAGTATACTATCGAGCAGTGCAGAAAGACATTGCCACTCTGCTGTTGACTCGGACGACACGCTAGAAGACGGGCTCCACTTGCACGCTTCCCTCCTGTAGCACACACTAGGCGTATACAACCCGACTGCGCATATCGCGCCTGTCACTCTTAGCCTCACATATGCCGTGGTAGCTCCGCCTCACCGCTTGGGCACTAGTCATGGAAGAGATTTGAATGCGGCAGCCTGCCGATGATCAATCGCAGGAACCTGTGTCAGTGTGAAAGCGAAATCGACAGCCCTACAGCCCTTGAACTTGGTACTATATTACAGCTATACATGTCTGATATATTGACCAACAAGGGGATATACACTAAACAACCGTGTTGACATCGTAACGGAAAAGCCATTAGTGGCAGCAGCAAAATCATGCTCCACATTCCTTGGTATTGGCCTACGCAGGCTGGTACCTCCTGAGCTGCCAAACCGTTAGCATGCGTTTGGAACAAGATTGTACGCAAAAAGAAACTTACATCCAGACTCAGGTATTTACTCGTCATCTTGCCCTGGTCCCGCATCACACCAACCAACGTCTCGCTCTCTTGGAAGAAACCCGCCTTGAGCGAAATGACAATGAACTGCATACCCGGGCTAGCATGCTCGCGCACATACTTGGCCACGCGGCTGACGTTGACATTGTCCAGCGCCGCATCAACTTCATCCAGCACAAAAAAGGGAGAGGGCTGGTAGCTGTGGATGGCAAACAGCAGAGCCAATGCCGCAATCGTCTTCTCGCCACCAGAAAGATGCTCCATGTCGCGGAAACGCTTGAGCGGCGGCATGGCGTGGTACTTGAGACCAGCGAGATACGGCTCTGTGCTGTCTTCCATATCAAGATATGCTTGTCCGCCCAGCGGGAACTGCGGCGACTTTGTCAAGTCCTTGTATGTGCCACCAATGTTCTCCGAGATGTGGTTGAACGCCTTCATGAAAAGGTCGTAACGCTTGGTCTTGACTTCCTCAAACGCCTTCTTGGCTGCTGCCGCACGCTTGCGTGTCTCGGCAAACGCCTCATCAATAGCCTTGAGTCGCGTTTCCGTGGCGGCAAGACGCTCGGCCGCACGCATGTTTGGCGTGGCCTTGTTGATGTCCGTCTCGAGGTTGGTAATGACGTCGGTCAGCTTGCCCTCGGCAGCCTTGAGGCGAGTCCCAGCTTGAGACTGGACGCGCTCGTCCTGGTCCTCCTCCTGCAACAAGTTAGTGCGTCTTGCCAAACTGCCATGTCCATACACTTACAGTTTCGAGTATTTCAATCACCTCGTTCTTGAGCTCGTCTTCCAGCTCCTCAAAGTCCACCTCTATGCCATAGTCATCGACCTGTGCAGGCTGGATCTGAGTCGCATCAGGATCCTCATCAATGTCCATGGCATCGGCGTCGGGCCGCGGCATGTCTGTCATTGGTAACGAAGTCAAGGGGCGTGAGTCTTCAGTAAGCGGGATCTTGATTTCGTTGACCCGGCACTCCTTGAGCACGTTGTACCGGTTGGTTGCGCTCGACTTGATTTTTGCATCCTCTTCATCCACCTCTCTGAGTACATGCTTGACCTTTTCGTTTCGCTGGTCGAGAGCGCGGCGTGCTTCCTTGACAGCAGCGACACGTTCTGCGAGCTTCTCTTCCAAGCGCTTTCTCTTTTCTTGCAGCGTCTCGAGCTCCGCTTGAAGAACGTCCCTCGCGCTTTGCAGCTCTTCTTGCTTGTCCTCGAGCTCGGCAATGTCGGCATTCTTGCGATTGATTTCATCCTCTGCTTGCTTGAGGCGTTCTTCAACACCACGGAGTGAAGAGTCAACCTGTTTCATCAGGTATTGAAGCCTGCTGCGCTGCTTGCTGAATTCAAGACGCTTTTCAGCCGCTTCTTGCTGCACGGTACCTTGCTGAGCCTCGTATTCGCGAATGGATTGATAGCCGAGCCGTTGGCAGAATGCAGAAAAGACCTGGTCGTTGACCTGGTTCACAGTATCCTGGTAGCGCCGGAGTTGGTCCTCTCGGTTTTGCAGCTGCTGCGCCTGTTTCTCGTAGTTGGGCCGGACGCCCTTGAGCTCGCTCTTGTGATGTGCCAGCTCCTTCTTGATACTTTCGATATTGCGGCCAAGTGCCCTGGTCTCGTCTTTGGCGCGAGCAATCTGCTCCTGAAGATCAAGAAGCTCGACCTCAAGGCTTTGTTCTTGCGTGTATTGACGATCTTGCTTGGGTAGTGCGCGGAGCTCTTCCTCGTACCGGTTCTTCTTGTCCAGCAGGGTTTGATAGGAGCGCTCGTCCCACTGCTGCTCGCTCGAATCATCGTCGCGATCAAGCTCACCACCCGTCTGTGTACCGCCTTTGCCGATGACGCGTCCGTCGAGGGTGACTGCCTTTACTTCGATCCGCTTGGCATATCGGAGCTCCTTTGCAAGCTTTTCTGTATTGCAAATCATGGTGTTGCCACACGCCGCCGTCATGGCTCGCTCGTGCTTGGGTTCGTAGTTGATGCAATCAATGGCAAGACGCATGCCTTCGTGCATACCCTTGAGCTGGGGGTCGACGGCTTGGATCTGAATCGAGTCGAGAGGATTGAAAGACATGACGCCGATGCGTTCGGCCTTGAGATAATCAATGCATGCCTTGGCCGTGGCTTCGGTGTCGACAATGACCGTGTCCATCTGGTGTCCGAGCACACGACCTATGGCCTTGCGATACTTTTGCATCTTGGGCGTGATGAGGTCCTTGTACCGGCCATGCACCTTTTCCGAGCCAAAACGAGTCTTGAGGCGCTCAATGGTCCTGCGGGCCTCCTGCTGCTTCCTTGACTCGCGGCGGCTGCCTTCAACGATGCTCAGTTGCTTGAGCACCTCCTGCAGCAGCTGATTCTTCTCGTAGTATTGCATCTCGATTTGCTTTCGGTCGGCTCGGAGCCGGTCGAGTTCTTGCTGTTTGGCGGCTCTCGCGCTTTCGAGCTCCTGAGTCTGCATCTTGGCGGCCCGCTGGCGCTCCTCGAAGTGGGCCATGTCAGCATTCAGCTTCTCCACAGCCTTTTCGTGGCTTTCGACGCTCTGCTGCAGATTCCTGACATGGTCCCTGTCAGTCTCGACCTCGCGCTTGAGCTTGTCGATCTGCATCTGGTCTCCGTGGGTCCGCTTCAGGACTTCACTGCGCAGGCGGCCGTATTCCTGCAGGTCTTGTTCCGACAGCTCTCGGCCCTGGTTCTGGGCAGCAGCCCGAAAGTCATCCTCCCACTTCTTCTCTGCCTTTTGCACCAGGTCCAGGTCCTTTTGGCACTTTTCGACCGCCTTCTTCTCGGCATCCCGCTTCTTCCTGAGCTCCTCGATCCTGCTTTCGTACTTTCGGCGGGTTTCGATGGAAATGCGAATCTTCTCCTCGATGGGCGCAAGCTCGTTGGACGCGTCCTCAATCTCCTTTTCCTTTGCCTTTGTGTTTTGGTCCGTCTTTGTCAGGTCTCGCCGGATCTTGGCCTCGGCCTGCCTTTCCGCCTCGTGCCGTTGGTGGTACTTTTCCACGCTGCGCTTGTGCTCCTTGAGCTCTTCCTGGTGACTTGCAATCTTGCTCCGCGCCCTCTCCATGACCTGCTCGTAGAGGTAGAGCTTCCACAGGTTCTTTGTGACGACGGCCTGGTCGCGCTCGGCCAGCTTCTTCTCGTACTCGTCAGCCTCGGCCTTTTGGTCCTGGTACGTCTTGAGCTCTCCGTTGATGGCGCGGCGCTCGTGCAGATGCTTCGCATTGTCTTCGGTGGCGGCCTCGGACTCTTCCTTTAGGCGGTCGTACTCGGCCTTTTGCTCCAGACTGCCCGAGATGCGCTCGACCTGCAGTGTGAGCTGCTCGGGGGCCGTGGTGGCCAGCTTCTCGACGTCGCCCTGGAAGACGAGAAAGTTGCGGGCCTTGACCAAGATGCTGTGCTCTTCGAGCGCGTCGCTGTACTGCTTCTGGGTGACGACCCGGTTGTTGATGCGGTATTCGCTGGAGCCGGCGCTGGTGATGGTGCGCTGCCACTCATGCGTCTGCTCTGCGTCGTCCTCGAAGACGGCCTTGACCCAGGCATTCTGGGGGTCGTTGCGCTGGGTGCTGGGCTGCGAGTCGCCATTGGAGCTTCCATTGGCATTGCCGTTGCCGTTGGCGGCGCCTTCGGTGGCGGTGCCGTCGGCGCCAATGCTCGCTTCCTGGATGATCCTGCCGCGATAGACCATGTCCTTGAGCTTGTCGGAGCGCAGATGCGACGAGCGGACGCCCAGGACGAACGAGATGGCGTCCATGCTGTTGGACTTGCCCGAGCCATTGGGGCCGATGATGGAGGTGAAGTACGAGTCGCCGAAGAGCAGCGTGTGCCGTCCCCGGTACGACTTGAAGTCTGCACATGTTAGCCGGGCGCGGCCATTGCGCGTGTGTATGCAGGCGACGCACTGTAGATCTCGAGCCGCACGAGCTTGCCCATGGCTGCAGATGAGGCGGACAGCACCAAGAGGGGGGCAGAGGGCGCGGCAGGGTGGTTGTCGCGGGCGGATCCGATGGCGATAGCGAGAGGGTGAAAGGCGCGTAGTCGCGTCAAGCAGTGGACAAAGCGCGCGCCGTAGCTAGCGCCTTCTCGCCTTGTCGCCCTCTTGCAGTATAGTACACTTAGCTGGCCCGCAGTGACGAAACCGGCTGCCTCACCCCCCGGCCCTTCTCTCGCCGCCATTCACCACGCCCTGCCCGGCCCACGCATACACTCCGCCTTCTCTCTCACACCCATCACCACGCCCTGCACACCTCCGCCCTCATCCCATACATACACACGCGCCCACCCACGCCCCTGCCGCGCCCGCCCGCCCCCGTGACCCCAACCGCCAAAGCCGCCAGGACATATATAAAGTAGTGACAGCGTGGAGCTTGCCAATCACCAGCCTGCATTCACCCACGATCTGCCTCCTGCACCGCCGCGACAACTGCTCTCGCCAACGCCCTCCCCCGCACGCTCTGCCCATCCTGTCATGAGAGCATAGAGCCTGACTGCATCCCGTCCCGGCTGCCCTCGCTCTCTCTCACTGTATGCACCTGCCCCCCCCCGAGAGTCCCCCCCCCCCTCCCTCGTCCACCATGGACTGCCCCATACACACTGCCCGCGACACGACAACTAACTCCAGCCATGGCTCCAGCCTCGCCCCCGCGCCCCCCGAAGCGGCCCCTCCATCGCCGAACCCCCTCGAGTCTCGGTGTCGTCCAGGAAGAAGCATCCGCCATGACGGCCCCCGACGACGATGGAGGCGGTGTGCCCAAGTCGCGCTCAGAGCCCCAGCTGGGCGTCTCTTCCCTCTCTGCCCGCCCGCTGCCCGGCGACTCTACCCACGCCGCCTCTGCTCTCCTCGAAGACCAGGCCTCGTCGTCCACAAACCCCCCCGGCCTCTCCCGCTCCGCCTCCTTCTCAAACAGCTCCTACCATGACGAGTCGGACAACGAGGACGCTGCCTTTTTCCCGCCCGTCGAGAAGCTGACCATGTTCGACTTTGTCGAGAACCTCGCCCTCGCCCAGCGCATCGAGAAGCTCCAAAACTCCATTTCCACCCAGACGGAGAAGATCAGGAACCAGGCCAAGAACAGGGGCATAACCAGAGACCGTGTGATTGAGGAGTGGCGCCGCAGAGTGCCCACCGAGGCCGAGCAGCTCGACAAGTACAAGCAGCGCATGCGCCGCTCCGTCGACCGCCTGAGCCAGCGCTGGAACGAGTCGCTCACGGTGACTGCGCGCGAAAAGGCGTCGTTTATCGCCGCCGTCATGAACATATTCGTCTCGGGATACCTGGTTGGATGCCACCCCGACTACTTTCCCCACTGGTACACCGCCCAGCTGCTCTACTTTATGCCCATCCGCTATGTCACATACCACCGGAAGGGCTACCACTATTTTTTGGCCGATCTGTGCTACTTTGTCAACATCCTCACCGTCCTGACCATGTGGGTCTTTCCTCAGTCCAAGCGCCTCTTTATTGCCACGTACTGCCTTTGTATGGGCAACAACGCTGTGGCCATCATCATGTGGCGGAACTCTCTTGTCTTCCACAGCATGGACAAGGTTGTTAGGTTAGTCGTTGCTACTCTTGCTATTGTCTATTTACTAACCTTGCAGTCTCTTCATTCACATCATGCCCTGCGTCACGCTGCACTGTATTGTTCATCTTTTGTCGCCAGAATATCAGCAACAACACTATCCCGCCATCTACGAGATTCGTAATTCGGACCCATCCTCTCCGCACCACTACAATCTTTTCCAAATGATGCTGTGGGCCACGGTTCCGTATGCTGTCTGGCAGCTGTCCTACCACTTTCTCATTACGGTACGCCGCCGCGATAAGATTGCTGCGGGCCGACCCACCAGCTTCACGTGGCTGCGCAAATCATACGCCAAGACATGGATTGGGAAAATCGTCCTTTCGCTGCCCGAGTTCCTCCAAGAGCCAGCCTTTATGTTGATTCAATACAGCTATGCTGTGTTGACCATGCTTCCCTGCCCTGCGTGGTTCTGGTACCGGTGGCCCAGTGGTCTGTTCCTGACTGTTGTCTTTGTCTGGAGTGTGTACAACGGCGCCACATACTACATTGATGTCTTTGGAAATCGCTTCCAGAAAGAACTCGAACAGCTCAAGAAGGACATGGCAAAGTGGCAGTCATCGCCCGAAGGCGGCTTTACCCCTTACACACCAGCAAGTGATAGCACTGATAAGCAGCTAGGTTACATTCCTCCACTTGAAGGCAGCACAAGCGTCAAGCCTGTAGATGGCGAGACAAGGGAGAGGAAGTAGCTTGCTGACATTGTTCATTTGCAGATCCACGACCATGATGTAGCGACTCTTGTTCACGTTTACCGACTGCTTACTCGATGCCAGAGTAAATGACAGTCTAGGCGTTGGTTTGGTTATGGTAGATTTCTTTCGAGTCTTGTCTGCGTTTTTGCGTTGCATATTTCGCTTTTTAGGCTGTTCAGACTAGTTGGTTAGATATACCCCCTTTCCTTCGCTTAGCCCGCGTCATTTATCCAGCGTGTATGCATCTAATGTGAAGCGTATTCTTGTTGATTCGAGTAGACTAGCCAATGTCATGTCATTCCTGAGACTTTGCATTCACTCATGCTTGTGCCAAAGCCTCTATGCATCGCTTCCTCTCTTCGTCTCCCATCTCCCCTGTAAAAGTATATTTATTGCAAAAGCTTAATCTTATAACGTCAAAGTATAGCGAGTGGCCGAGAATAGCGAGTGACCGAAAATGCCAAGCCCCCATCAACTTTCACTACTACTCGCGATGTCTCAACAAATTCATTCAAAAAAGTCTTCAAAAGAGTCTCAAGTATAGCTTGCAATTCAGGCTATTAAATGCGACGCGACAATTAACATTCCACGCGCTGCAGCTCTCTACAACGTGCCTGAACGTACCCTAAGACGAAGACTCGCAGGAAAGCCTTCTCGACAAGATTGTTCGCCCAACTTAATGAAACTACTTATAACAGAAGAGGAGGTGATTGTCAAGAATATTCTTGATCTTGATGCAAGAGGATTTCCGCTGCGCCTTTCTGCTGTCAAAGATCTAGCTGATTCTTTGCTGGCTGCCCGCCACCGCGACCCTGTTGGCCCTAACTGGCCTAAAGCATTCATAAAGCGTCGCCTAGAGCTTAAGATGAAGTTTAATCGAAAGTACGACTACAAGAGAGCCCTCTGTGAAGATCCTGAGCTTGTGCAGGGCTGGTTCCGCCTTGTACAGAATACCAAAGCCAAGTATGGGATCCAGGACGACGATATGTACAATTTTGACGAGACGGGCTTTATGATGGGCATGCACAACTCGTTAGCAGTAGTCACAGCCTCTGATCGTCGATCAAAGCTAAAATCTCTGCAGCAGGGCAACAAAGAGTGGGTTACCAGCGTGGTTTGTGTCAGCGCAGCTGGCTGGGCGATCCCACCCTTTATCATCTTTTAGGGCAAGCACCACCTCTCTGCCTGGTACAAGGAAGACAGCCTGCCTAGGGATTGGGTTCTCGCAGTCTCTGAGAATGGCTGGACAACAAACGAGCTTGGTATGAAGTGGCTAGAGCACTATAACAGGCATACAAAAGAGCGTACTGTTGGAGCCTATCGCCTACTCATTCTAGACGGTCATGAGAGCCACAACTCAGTCAACTTCCAGCAATACTGCACAGAAGCAAAGATTGTTACTCTATGTATGCCTCCGCACTCTTCCCATCTACTGCAGCCTCTTGATGTGGGGTGTTTTTCGCCTTTGAAGAGGGCATATGGGCGCCAAGCCGAGGAGCTGATGCGCAATGGGATCAACTATATGACCAAGATAGAGTTCTTGCCAGCCTTCCAGCAAGCCTATTTTCAGACAGTTACAAAGGATAATATCCTAGGAGGGTTTCGAGGCGCCGGATTGGTTCCACACGACCTAGAGGTGGTGACATCAAAGCTAGATGTTAAGCTGCGCACCCCTTTACCACCTGCTGCTGAAAATCTACACTGGCAGTCGCAAACCCTAAGCAACACCCTAGAAATAGGGCTGCAATCGACGCTGGTGAAGCAGAGGATTCAAATGCACCTAGATAGTTCACCAACAAGTATGCTAGGTGCTGTTGAAAACCTAGTTAAAGGTGCGACTACTATTGCGCATGAGTTGGTGTTAGTCAAGAAACGGGTCTCTAAGCTTGAAGCAGCGAATGAAGCCGCCACGCGAAGGAGATCACACAAAATAAAGCGGCTACAGAAAGGAGAGACCCTAACGATTGAAGAAGGAGAGAAACTGGCAACTCTAAAGGAGTCTGGGGCGCGTGGTAGTGGGAAGAAGGCAAAGAAGGGAGAGAGCGCTGAAGTAGGCGAACCGTCGCAAAGGCGCTGTAGACGCTGCGGTGAGACTAGACACAACTCGCGCACCTGCAAGCAAGATAAAGAGGTTAATTCTAAATAGATTAGCCTTTTCTAATTTCAATTTACTGTTGTTGTTGCGCTATAATGGTTGCGCAACGGTGGTGAGGTTGATGGGGGCTTGGCATTTTCGGTCACTCGCTATTCTCGGCCACTCGCTATACTTTGACGTTACTTGCTCTTCTTCTTCCTCTTGTACTATCACTATTATTACTACAGTTCCTGGCAAAAAGTTTCCCCTCGCAAGCGATTTTACACCAAAATAAGCCTATTTCGCAGTAATATATCTCTACAACCTCTTTTCAAAACTCTTTTAAATTTTAATATAACGTGTTTCACCAGTAAGCGGGCCACCCCAGTATGTAGGCCACCTCCCCAAACTATTACATCTTTGTAATAGTATTGCGCAACACCACCACAATATTTTTTATTAAGTAGAATAAGATATTATTCTTCAGACGCATTGCTATCCTCTGTATCCTCTAATTCCACTTAACAAGTGCGAGAGTTGTGTCCAATTTGGCTGCAACGCCCGCAGCGCCGTTCACTACGCACCCTCTTCGCAGACGTTGCACCATCATTATAGCTACCACCCTCTGCCTTAGCGATCTAATTAGCTATCTGGCTAACTGTCTAGGACCCCTCTGCCTGTACGTAGCGCCTCTTACGAGTTTTTCGCTTCGTTACTTTAGTAATCGTAGCTTTAAGGCGATCAAGTTTCTCCTGCATTAACACTATATTATAAGCTATCTACTAAGCTCCCTTTTTCAACACACACCAACTTCGAGTTTTCTGGAAACCGCTAGGAAAGCACGCTATCTAGGAGAACCGACCACGAGGAATCGACTAACAGCACTTTTAACACCTGCAGCTAAGGCGCTAGCGCGCAGTAGGGAGAAGAAGGAGGCCTTCCTTCGTTTTCTCACGCCTGTGAGAATTTTCTCACAGAGCTTGGGCTCTAATGCCAAGACTAGAGGGGCCAATAGGAACGCAGGAGCTTTATTGAAGCTCAAATTTAGC